TATCACTGCCTGTGCCCTTTCCCCAGGCTATTATATTTAGTTACAGTGACTCAGTGCTGGCAATTTCAAAATTAAATACCTCTGTCCTTATCTACACTCTCAGATTCAGGATGATCTATCCAAGTATTTTTTGAATATATTAATTTAAGTGACTACTATATATCTCAAGCCTAAAACTCACAAACCAAATTTTCTATTTAAAATTTACTTTTAAGTTAACAAGTTAATGGGTGCGCCAGTGACATTTTCATACATATACGTCATTGTGCTTTTTTATTTATTATCCTCATCACTGTAAGGACCTTTTCCACCACTTGTCTTCATGAGTCAGAAGCTAGAGATTTCTAAGAACTCATTTCCAATGGCCACCTCTTTTCCCAGCATATTTTATGCAACTTATTCAAAATTTAGTAAATTATTTGATACCAGCTAATTTGGTTACCATTATTTTTATTTGTTGTCCATGGTGAGTATTACTGGAAATGGCTGTGTTATACAGAGAGGCTTCTCAAGTGTCAAATCTGCTAGGTAAGTAACGATTTGTCTCTATAATCAAAATTCTTATAATTGACATTGTGAGACATAGATCATCACTTAAGATCCTAGGAAGGATTACCAAATGAGGCAAAAGTAGCCTCTCTGGAACTCAGGAATCCACTTCATAAAGCAGTATATGAGCTTAATGGAGGGGTAATGGAAGGCAAGCAGGCCATAATTTTTTGAAGTGTCTTCCACGGAACCTCAGTTTCTCAGGAGCATAATGATACAGTGACGACACATTTATAGTGTGTTTGTTTATATTAGTCATTTTTCAGAGTTGGTTTTCTGTTACTTGAATAATAAAAATTTATTTTACTTTTAATCTAGATGCTGAAATTACTTTTAATTCCCCCTTCTAGGTTTATTACTATCATTAATTTTTTTAACCAAGGAAACCTGTTTAATCTCTTTTCCTCATTTTATCATTAATATTATTTTCATATCCATCCATCCATCCATCCATACATACATACATACATACTTGGGAAAGATTAGGAAATTCATTTTTTCCCAAGCCACATTCCTTAAGAAGTTCTGCCTGTGAGTAGCCACGGCACAGTATTAGCCTATATTTCTCAGCTTATTAACTTTCCTGCTGGACTCAGCTTCCTTTGCCCTACAGGGCCCCATCTGCAGCTTTAACAATATTGATGGTTAATTCTACCAAAAAGAGCTTGAACTGCGAAGCAAACCCTGGAACTGAGCCCCACAGAGTGAGCATATGCTCAGAGGTATCTCTACCACAGAGACAGAAATGACGTTCTATTATCTTGTTGAAAGAGTCTTGAAGCTGCTTCTCTGAGTGGTTCCAGGGGAGCCACACAAACGGGCTAGATGTCAGGCCTATTTTAGCTCTCATCATGACTGCCCGTCAGACCCTGGGTTATTTCTTGCTCTTAGGAGAGAGATGCATTCAGCGTTTCATACAATTTGTTATTTATGACTTGAAACTAATTTTCACCCTGAATTTTTACTGTCATTGGTAGCATTTTAGAAATATAGGGGAGCCTTGGATTTGAGAATATTATTTCTACCAGGTATGAGTCACATGATCAGGAAGACAGCTTACTTTCATTTACTTTTAAAATGTTCTTTCTCAAGATGGTTAAATATTAAACAGACAATACATATGAAAGTATCTGCACAATGAACCAAATCAGCATGGAACTGGAAAGATAATTATTGGTCCCAAGAATTTCCTAATCTGGCGGAAAATCTGTATTCTCATCTGTCTGATTTCTTTCTTTCTTTTTTATTTATTATTTATTTCTGTCTGAATTCTTTGGTATTTTAATGAGTAGCAACATATTTGTGTCTAATCTTAAAAGGGGGGCCCAAGTGTAGATTAGCAGGCATTGTTTAGAATTTAAAACAAAATTTCCCAAGTTAGCTAAAACAGGTAATTATCTTTTAGTTACTTTAAAAACAATATGGGCAGATTTATTCATTTAATGTTTAATTCACTGACAACATTTAGAAATTTATTTCAATGACCGTTTCACTACTAACGAATTATTTTTATAAATAAAGTAAAAGCAAGGTGACCATAAAGAATAACTTCAAATATCATACAGCGTCAGGCAGCAATTATTTTCTCACTCCCTCACACATCCCTCTCTCTTCTTGGAAACACTTTCATTCTATTAAGCTTGACCTACACTCTCTTATTATAGATTATAAACTGTGAGAGGAAAGCAGGTATTATTGCCCTCACCCCCACACACTGACTTCTTTAATACGATTTTCCTACTGCTTTTATTTAGAGTGTTAGGGAATTATTTTATAACCAGACACCGTAAGTCGCAGGCATCTGGTTTTAAAATATTTACTAATTATATTTTAACACCATCAAATTGAAGTTCACTGCTTCAGCTTCCTGCTTATGACTCAGAGGAAATAATTGCCAGCTGTCATACATGTTTCTTATTTTCTCACCGTCCTGGATGACTCACAGTCTGACCCCACTTCTCCCATCGCTGCTTGTTCTGGCCACTGGGCCCTTCCTTGAGGGTTTAAATGATGACTTTACTGGTCTTTCTGTAATTACTATCTTCTCCAATCATTGTTTCTTAATATAACCAGCTGTTAATAAACGAGGCCACCAGTTCTTGAATGCCGTCACACAGTTTTCTAGTTCCCAGAAAAAGAGCTTAAACTTGATCAGCGATGAACTCCCATTGCTAAACATAATAGTGCTCACTGTTTCGTTGAAAGAATGCCTCGATTTCACTTTTCTTCTCTGCATTCCTGCTCTCCCCGCCGTCCCTACTCTCATGCGTTTCTCTCTTTGAAAAATGACAAGGTCTTTCCTTCCTTAGTACCAAATGTGTGCCATACTGTGAGATGGTTTAAGTGAAGTGGATTCATAGAATTTGGGCTGTAAGACTCAGAGGGAGGAGTTCAGGTCACAGTCAAGTGCTGGAGATGGTTGGCATAGTTACTTATTACAAAACAAGGGACTCATAAAGGCTCTGATGAAAGCATCAGCATGTTTATAACTGGAGCTTTATTTTAATCCTGTCCTTGATGCTGATTAATGTTATGATTCCAGAGGAACAAACTTAGTAGATGAAAAACAACGCCTCAATGATGAACTCAAATCATCCGCTCACTGGAAAATTTTGATATCTTGGAAAAAGTAATTTGAAGGGAAGAGGAAGGTGATGGTTTGGATCACTTTTGAGCAAGACGTGAGCTTTGAAAAGGAGTTCTAAGAACTAAGTGATATCCTTAACTTTATGAATACGGAAATAAGCTTTCTATGCAGGGTAACCAAAGGAGCATGGCTGGGTCCTAAGTGTGGGTTAAAGCCTGTGTCAGTGGAAACAAAAAGGTGCATATAATTACAGAGAGAAGACGGTAACAAAAAAATCAACTCAGCTGTGAGTGTGAGTGTATGCGTGTAAGTGAGTGTGTGTGTGTGAGGGAGAAAGAGGCAAACAGACAGAGACATGCAGAGAGACAGAGAGACATACAGTAAGACATATCTTTAGAGATTTTCATATATCATTTATAGCTGCAGGACTAAAACAGATAGAATAATAGTAAATAAAAGATAAATCTACCAATACCCAAATTATATTGTTTTCTCTTTCTGCTCTAAGCAGGAGGTAGATTGCTTGGTTTGATTCTTCTGATGATGGTGCAATAGGTGAATTTACCCAATGAAACTATGAAAGAGTAGTGTTTTTTTTTGTTCCTAATCATAACAGTTATATATTCTAAAAACTTTCAATTAAAATATCTTAACTCATTTGTGTATTGAATGCCACATGATTGTGTGCATGGGAAGACCAGGAGTTGGTGTTGGATATTTTCCTCAGTCACTTCTCTTCCTGTGGTTTTTGAGACAAGGTCTTAAAGCTGTGATAAAAAAAAACCCAATGGTTTATGTATTGAGGAGTTTCAGGAATGTTTTCATTTGTAATGATGATGGGATTTGGATTGGACTTTGCCATTATTCCTTAAACTTCTCGTGTCTAACAATGTAGGAAATGAATTTCACTCCATGAAATTACTCAATATTAGAATCTACTATTTCCACCTAGTATTTTATAAAATCTCCACATACATTTCAAAAGGGTGTGTTATCAGGCAAGATGCATGAAATTTGACTTTTTGAACAACATGGTGATGGCAAAGCAGGCAGTTTAATGGTCTTATGATTCAAACTTGAAGTCATTTTAAGTGAACACTATATATTACAACATCTTTATACTAAATGCCATAATTAAATTTTCAATTCTAGGTATACTTTCTTTCTCTAGGTAAATGTCTTAGAAAAAGTGATTTGACTCCATAGGCGTTTTGATTGCTCTATATCTTTCTGAAAGCACAAAATTCGATTACATATTCCCGCTCCATGGGAGGTAAGACAGAACATATGGGACAATGATTTGAGAATGACACATAGACCCTAATGGGGCTGGGTATGCAGTATAGTCAAAATATTAGGGCATATAAAACCAAAGATACACTGGGAACATTTACCAGCTTCAAGCATTGTTTATGTTAATAATTAATAGTGGTAATTAGAATGTATAGAATCATTATTATTTGGCTAGATACTGTGTTATAAAGAACTCTGTGCAGATTCTTACATTGGTATTCATTATTATGAGTAGAAATTATCATATATTGTTTTACAAATATGCTATGGTCAAACAGATAACATCTGGATTGTCTGTTATCTCTAGTGTTCTTTCTGTTGCCACGATCAAAACACAGACCAAAATTTTCTTAAGAAGGAAAGGGTTTATTTTATCTTACAGCTTATAGTCCTAAGGGAAAGCAGGGCAGAAACTCAAGGCAGGACCCTGGAGATAGGAACTGATACAAAGGCCTTAGAGGAACACTGCTTACTGGCTGGCTTTCTATAGCTCACTTAGTCTGCTTTCATATACAACCCTGGACCTTCTTCCCAGGGGTAATACTGCCCACTATAGCCCTACCATATCAGTTATTTATCAAGAAGATGCTCCATAGACATGCCTATGGGCCAATCAGATGGAGGCATTTTTACAACTGCATTCCCTTTTCCCAGATGACTCTACCTTATGTTAAGATGACAAAAAAGCTAACCCATTGCCCCTTCAAACTCTTCTGAGTAATCATTTACGTGTTCATCACTCATTCTGTGGGCCATCTCTTCATTCAACTGGCTGTTTCCTCTGTGCACAGAGCTTTGGTTTCCTGAAGTCCCACCTGTCAGTTGTTGGCTCCATCGGCAGACTGAGTAGAGGAATTCTGTTTTAAAAGGTTAAGAGATGGATGAGTGCTACACTGTAAACAGGACCGTCTTCTGTCAGGCCCAGGGAACATGAGAATGAAGGTAGGGTGGGGATTCAATGTAAGATATGGAAAACAGGGGAAAAAGACTGTTGAACCATCTTTTTGTGGACAAGGGGCACCTATTGCAATAATGAACTAAAGGCCACAGCTGATACCTGTTCTGGGACTGTATGAGCACAGGTCCCTTCCACAGTCAAGCATGGATGAAAGAGAGGGCCAGGGTACCCTACCATTCACTGCTGTATTATTTACTACCGACAGATTCAGTGGAAGGGGAAGGACTGTCTGTTGTTGTATCCTCACCAATGGCCCCACTAGGCACCATTAACCTTTGACTTAGTTTGTGCTCTTTGAAAGCCCTTTCCTCATCCTCCAGACCAGCATGTCTCCAGGCCTCATGTAACTTTAAGAATTTCAAGATCATTCAGTTCTTCTCTATTTTCAACTTTTAGAGTAGATATGATATTTTGTCATCTGTATGAAAGGCCAATCAAGTTACTTAACATCCGTTGTACCAGCAATTAACCTATGTTTGTGCATGTGTGCAGTGTATGCTTGTATATATGTCTTTGTCTTGGGTCATTCTAGATCTTTTCTATGCACAGAAAGGAGGAAGAGAGAGAGAAGTGGGAGTGGAATTGGGCAGGATACCTAAAATATTTTTAAAGACACGAGTCCTGTTAGGTATGTGTCCCACTCTTACGACCTTAAATACTTCCGCAAACATCCTCCTGAACATATAGTTACAATGGGGGTCAAATCTACAAAGTGTGAATCCTGGGAAATCTCAAATCAGTCTGTAACACATAGTGACATCTAATTTACAGATCTGGATATAAAGAGTATCTTGAAGGGTCAATATACTTCCTATCACAGAGAAAATTCTAGCTTATGCCCAGTTGAATAGTCTTACAAAGTTACCAAATGCTAATCTAATAAGCACCATGTTGAATGTGTTAATTTCATTATCTCTGAAGTTCTAATTTCATTTTATGTAATTATATAATTGAATATTTACTAGAGATGTTATTATTAGGCCCATAGCATGAAAAATTGTAACATATTAAAATTGCCTTATATTTTCCATACTCAGAATTCTGCATGATTCCAGGAACATTTTCCTTTAGTTTATGAAATACAGCATCATCCCACTTCAAACATCCATTAAAGGAAGCAAAGAACTTCAAATGAAGGCAATATCAAGAAATAACATCCCCTTTCCTTCACACACATGGGAGGAAAGACTGCGATTTAGCAACAGATGTGGAAGTTTGCAATTCTTATTAAAACTAAGCTCCAAAATGTATCCAACTGCAAAACAGAGGATATGAGGAGAAGACTAGGAAAATAGCTTCTGCTGATTCACTTAGTAAAAGTTAAAAAAAAAAGGCTGGCAAGAATCTGGTGCATGTTAGAGAAAAAGTCTTGACCTTTAAGAGTGTATAACGCATTAATATATGAACTATGAAACTACAGGTATGTAGTATGGGCAATACCGATTTACTACATATATAGGTGCAGTTGATGATTGAGGGCAGCACCTCAGCTGCATGCTTCTATAAACACACTGAAAAATTGACTTCTCTGCTGCATCCTTGGTACCTATAGACAGATGTATGCTTTCAGTCTTGATAGATGCCAGCTCTGTTTCAAAGAGCAATGCATAATGAATTGCAAATATGGTAATATTTCTGGGAATCACATTCGTTCATACAAAAATATTGATAGTAATCATAAAAGTAAATGAAATACAAAGTAAAAACTTGGACTCCAAATACCTCTGCAGTCCAACCACTGGATGACTGAAATGTCACTATTGGGTAGTTGTTTCAGGTGGAATAGCATGGAGGAAGGAAGACAGGGCCAGAGGCAGGTGACTGTGAGTCATAGAAAGGTTAATTCCAGGACCCACACCTAAAGTACACTACCCTTTGGACTGCTCTGATTGAGCATTGAATTATGTGAACCCTCCAACCAATAGAAAAAAAATTAACCACTATGGAGGAGTGAAAACTCAGTAGGAGAATCTACTAAAGATGTGCATGCCTACAGAAAGATTGTTCCAGGGTTAACTTTGAAGTATCAAAAATCCTCTTGGGAACTACTACTATGGATGCTTCTCATGCATGTGGTTTTAACAGAGAGAATCGTGGGATGATACCTGTGCAATGAATATAGCATTACATAACCTAAGCATGGCAATAAAAAAAGAAATGTCCATCTTTGATAATCTCTTGTTCTTTTGTAAATTAAACCCCAGTATCCATAAATTGAGGAGGCTTACTTAGTTCTTCAAGACCAAGATATGAAGAATCTGAACATCATACCACAACACATCACAAAACACATCAAGATTGGTACCCTTCTGGTAAGAAAGTCCTGTTCTCACCAGGGTAGTAGGGAACTGACCCTTCTAAATGGTGTGAAGTCACTAATACCTTTATCTGAACTTTAGGTATAATGCAGAAGAACAGGATTGATGTGTAGGAGAAAGATGTCGCAAAGAAATTTGGTTTATGAAGAAGAACTGGGAATTATCCAGTCACTTCTCTCCCACAAGCAGTCTGTGTAGCTGTGTACTTACTTAAGACTCCGGTTGAATATTCACAGATATTTAAAATAAGACATAGTCATAAGACTGAATTTAGGGTCCTAAGTTTAAAGAACACTCTGTATTCTTTCTATCATTTCATATCATGTGGCTGTTTTGTCCAACTATTCTATCTGGAAATGTTCTCTATATCGTTGATTTTCCCTTGTCTTTATATTCATCAAGTGCTTCCCTGTATTGTTGCGGCCTACAAAGTTCTACAGAAAATATCCCATTCTTCTTCAGCCAGAGCTAAATCAATGAATAAACAAACATGTAAAATAAAAGTTAAAAAAAATAGGGTTTTCTTGATCTTACAGGGTTCGGGACAGATGATGCTTCAGGATATCAAGTGCTCATTTCCACACTGGGATCCAGGTTGATGAGTTCTTTCATCTCATGTATCGGGCTTTCAAGGCTGTTGATTGGAAGTGAAATAGAATTTGTGTTGCTATTCACTATTAAGAGAGACCTTATAATCTCATTGAGAAATTTGTAGTAGGTCTTTATGCAGCAATACAAATTGCCTAACAGTCTATGTAAATGCGTAAAGGCATAGAAAGTCATGCATGTAATTTTCCTAATGAAGGCATGAACAAAGCCCATTTCTGCTCTTACCCTAATAGAAAGATCTTATTTACACGCCACACTTCATTGTAAGGAAGACTAGGAGATGCAGTGCAATTGGCCACCTATATTTTCAGTTCTGAGGGAGTAGGGAGAGAAGAGCTTCAGGTGACTCACTGGTGCTCTCAGTGCTGTTCGGTGTTCTCACCTCTGTTCTTTATTCCATTTCCCTGAGCCCTGTAGAGATGCTCCTCTTTCTACATCGTATGCTGCTCCTTTCATTCTCCACTCAGATAATAATTATTATTAAGACTAACAGACAAAGTATAATGATAGATATGCATGCAAATGGGTCACAACGAAACTCACCTCTCTGCATGCTAACACGATGCTAGTAAAAAAGCTATAAGGAACAGAACATTCTATGTTCCTGTGGAACGTTATCCCTTTTGTAACGGCTGAAAACTCAGGATAGTTTATTCAATAATTGTCTGTCATGTCAGAGTGTTTGAGTCTTCACTGAACCCTGAGTATCTAGCAGCTAGTAGATACTTAGTATTTCTTGAATAAATATGTAGATAGATAGATTGAATGAATGAGTATTAATATAGATACATTTTATGGTAAGTAGGAAATAAGCTAATCTGAACCCATTAGGTTGTTAAAGAAAAAAAAATATTCTGTAGAAAACCTTACAGAGTAATATTGTAATAGGCAGGGACCACCAGAAATGCAATAGGGTCTTCAACAAGGAAACAAGATAGAGTTAAACTCAGTAAAGCATGGCCAACTAGGAATTTTTAGCTAAAGAACAGCGTGGAAGCCAGTAGTTGGCACATTAGTAGGAAACATCAATGATAGTCTTGTCAAGTTATCCTAAAAGGATTCTAACTGTAAATAGGTCAGGCTGGTAAGAAATTATCTGTGGGGTGGTGGAAGGAGAGAAACCATCAGCTATCAAATATTGAGGATGGGAGTTTTCTTCCTGTTGACTTAGCATAGTTTTTGTCCAAATTGGATTCTATATGCAAAATTTACACGTGGCTTAGTCAAAGTTTCAGGGGCCTGACTAAACTTTGGTCAGGTAGGGTTAGGCATTCCCCACGAGGAGCAAAAGCAAAGTCAGTAGTTGTAGAAAGAAAACCTGAGAAAACTGGTATAATTTTTGGTAGTTACAAAGGAAAAGAAATGATCAATGGGAAAAAGAAAAAGATATTGTTCAACAAAATTAAGTATTTAATTGTGTGTAATGGTAACTACCCATTGTGATTTTTAAAGGATCTTTAGTTTCAGAGAGGAATGCATGTTGGAGGCTATCATAGTCAATGATGGCTACACTGAATTGATTCAGAGATCAGTCAACCATTATTTTTATGTAATAAATTCAACCTTTTCTTATTTTATAGCCAAGGATGCCAAAGGTCTGAAAGTACAAGTAAATACTCTAGGAACATGGAATCTCTATCAGATCTCTCAGTGTTGCGGACAGATTTTTCTTTGGGTTGTCAGCCTACAAAAAATTGACATGGGGATATTATCAATCATGAAAGTTTGGCTTTATCTCAGGATTGATTCTAACTAGCTCTTGTAACTTAAAATAACCCATAGTTTAAAATCTATGTTCTTCCACGTGCTTGTTACCTCATCTCCATTTTGCCCATTCTGCTTTCTCTCCATCTGGCTGGCGACTCCACCTTTCTTTCTCTCTGAGTTCTTCCCCAGAAATCCCACCTTTCCTCCTCCTATCTAGTTGTTGGCCGTTCACCTCTTCATTAGATCAAATCACAAGGGCACAACTGTACACCATTTCACTGGAGAATGGAGAGAATGTGTCAGCTGTCTGTTTGTATGGACACTGTATATGAGAATAATGATAAGAACACATGGAAAGAAGGGCACCTCACAGCAACCAAACTCTCCCTAAGGTGCCATCAGGAGTGGTGGTCAGGGTGCATAGCACAAGTCCATTTTGTGGGTCCAGATGAGTAGGATCTTTTGATTTATATAAAACAAAAGGTCACGGAGTGTATACCTGGTGAACCTAAAGAAGCTAAAGAAGAAAGTGAACCCAAGAAAAAACATATAGTTATCCTCTTGGCTAAGGGAAGTAGATAAAATTGCCGGGGATAAAATTGGGATCTTGGGGGTGGGGTGGGTTGGGGTTAAGGGGGGATTGGGAGAGAAAAGTAAGAAGGGGAGGATTGGGGGAACTTGTGGAAACAGGAAGATTGGGATAAAGGAAGGTTGGATAGGGGAGCAGGGAAGCACATATCTTAGTTAAAAGAGCCACCTTAGTGTTGGCAAGAGACTGGAACCTAGAGTGGCTCCCAGGAGCCCAAGGCGATGTCCCCAGTTAGTCCCTTGGGAAGCTGAGGATAGGGAACCTGAACTGGCCCTATCCTATAGCAATACTGACGAATATCTTTCATATCACCATAGAACCTTCATCTGGTGATGGATGGAGATAGAGACAGAGACCCACACTGGAGCACTGGACTGAGCTCCCAAGGTCCCAATGAGAAGCAGATGGAGGGAGAACACGAGCAAGGATGTCAGGACCACGGGGGGTGCACCCACCCACTGAGACAGTGGGGCTGATCTATTGGGAGCTCACCAAAGCCAGCTGGACTGTGACTGGAACAGCATGGGATAAAACCGGACTCTCTGATCATGGCGAACAATGAGGACTGATGAGAAGCCAAGGTCAATGGCAAGGGGTTTTGATCCTACTTCATGTTCTGGCTTGGTGGGAGCCTAGCCAGTTTGGATGTTAACCTTCCTAGACATGGAGGGAGGGGGGAGGACCTTGGACTTTCCACAGGACAGGGAACCATGACTGCTCTTTGGATAGGAGAGGGAGGGGGAGAGGAGTGGGGGGAGGGGGAGAAGAGAGGGGGGAGGGAGAGAAGAGTGGGGGAGGGGGAGGGAAATGGGAGGCTGGGAGGAGGCGGAAACTTTTTTTTCTTATTCTCAATAAAAAAAAAACAATACAGGCAGGAACTGCATTAGGCATACACAAGAAAGAAAAACCTTCTCACTATAAATTAGAGATTAATGGGTTCCTTTCAAGGGATTTTTTAAAGCAAAAATAGCATCATTACAAGAGATCAGGAGAATAGGCAGCTGGAGAAATGGCGCTGTGGGCAAGGCATTTTCTAGGTAAGTCAGAGAGCCAGAATCTGATCCTTGGACCCCAGAAAGTGAAAGGAAAGAACTGACTCTACAGCTGTTCTCTGACATCCACATCTGCTCTGGTAGCACATACACACAGACAATAAATAAATTTATAGGGTATAGTTAGGATCAAGTGAGTATTGTAATCAAGATGTTGCGTATTATAGCGAAGTTATTTTGAAATAGGCTGAAATTAGCCATAGTAACAGTGAAATGAGGTAGAAGTGGAGTCAGCAAGAGAATGACAGTTCTAGGTAAAAGAAGATATAAATTAGATAGAATGGTTTACAATGCGGATTAAAGATCAAGGACACTAGACAGGCAAGGAATATAAGGCAGATGGGAGATGCTTGAGAGCAGCCAGCCTCGGGTCCAGCTGGGGCTTTGACGACAAATGATTTTCTTGCTTCTGTAAGCTCAGAGCTAAGTATTTGAGGCAGTAGGGGGAAGAGATGGAATTCGAAGAATCATCCAAGGCTGGCAGTGTGAGAACAAATGGCTGAGGGCATGCAATGAAGGTTACATAAAAAAAGAAGTGAGGAAAGTGTTATGGTATGCCATTTAGTAATTTTTTTTGTCTTGCTCACTGCCTTGGGAGTGATCACCGTGGCTTTAAAATCACCCCCACCTTCACTAAACCTTAGGTAGTGGTTCTTTCTCATAGATAGTCTAGCCATCAGAGCACCTCCCTTTTTTAAAGGATTTACTTTAGAAACCATATGAATCTGGTAGCAGGAGAGGTGGTCTTTCAGAGTGAAGAGTGCACCAATTGGTTGTCCAGGGCCAAATGGGTCAGTCCTGAAAACATACAGTTAACATTATATGGGCACAACAAGTTACTTTTTTGGAATCTATGTGTATATACAAATGCACATACGTGTGCAATAACAATTGATGAGAAAGAGGCCGTGGATTTGAAGAAGAGTGTGGAGGGGTGTGTGGGAGGATTGGAGGGAGTTAAGGAGAGAGTTAAAAATAATTAAATGACAATCTCAGAAATGAACAACAAAAGTGGAAACCTTGTGATTGTAAATTCTTGTGATTATAAACTTTGTAAGACATTCATTGCCAACTTTACATGGAAAAACTGTCCTTCTCAAAGCTCTGGAGTCATCTCTTTGAAAGGTAGTTGTTGTAGGGAGACCACTTGTGCGTTCCTGGCTGCCAAGACTTGAAATAACCACACAGAAACTGTATTAATTAAATCACTGCATGGCCTATTAGCTCTAGCTTTTTATTGGCTAGTTCTTACATCTTAATTTAACCCATTTCTATTAATCTGTGTATTGCCACATGGTTGTGGTGTACCAGCAAGGTTCCGATGTCTTTTCCCAGTGGTGACTGACTCCGCCTTCTTTCTCCCAGAATCCAGTTTAGTTTTTCCTGCCTAACTCTGCTCTGCCATATCACATGCCAAGACCGCTTCTTTATTCATTAACCCATCAAAGCAACACATATACAGAAAGGACCTCCCACACCAGGCAGGAACTAGTAAGATAGTAACCTTTTCCCTCAGAGCCACAGAGAGAGTGCAAGAGACTAACTCAGCTGACTCCTTGTTCTAATTTTCAAAACTGTTGTGATCAGAAAGAGAAGAGAAAGTTTACCAGAGGAAGTAAGCACATAAGACTCTTTCCCTGGGATTTCAAGAATGGCAGAGAATACTTACAAAGTCACTAGCAGATGCTTACCCCTTTCCTGAGTCACTCAGAGGCCTGATTCAGTTCCGTGTTGCTCACTCACACCGCCTGGTCTCTTGAGAATACTCTGTTAGCTGGGGGCACCATAGATGATTATCTCGCCTAAGAATCACCTTCATTTTCATGCTCTGCCTTAAATGACAGAGCTGCTTCTTAGCTAATGTGAAACGGTGGCGGTCTTTTATCCTGCTTATAAAGACAAATGTCAAGGTCATGTATATTAGAAAACAAATTAAAGCTTGCTTGCAGGGACTAAAGAGATGGTCATTAGAAAACTTTGGCTTGGAAACTGTCTCAGGATGTATTTTCAAAACTATGACTCAGAGGGCTTTATGGATTATAACTAATGAAGATATTCTTCATTGAGACATTAACTTCATTCCCAAAGGTTTATTTCCATGCATTTCATAGATAATAGCTTGAAAAATGATTTGATCATCAAATATTTGTGAATATGTGAGTAGACACAGTTGTGCTGGCACAAGATGTATTATTATTAAAGAAATAGTAGTAACAGCAGCATTACTTAGGGAAGAATAGCTGTTACAACTGTGTGCTATGCTGTTCTAAGTGATTTGTAAATGTTAATTTGTCCAAGAAAAGGAGTTAGGCTTGGATGCTATTGAAAGTGGACAGTTTTGGATGCCACAGCCAGCTCCGCTGGTAATCCTAAACTGGGAAGAATCCCAAATGCCCTGTTTGCTTGTCTATTTTTCCTTCATTTTTGTGTTACCTGGAGTTGCCAAGGACAAGTATGAGTATCTTATTAGGTCTCATGTATTTCTCATAGTGAAGTCTCCCCACTGTGTGCTTTTTCTCCCCCAGTTTTGAGATATTAGCTGAAATTCTGAGTTTGTACAATGTTTTCTTCCTACGCTGTGGTCACATGCTTAATTCTAATTTAAGTGTAAGTAACTCACAAAGGGAGAGACTCTGGTAAAGAGAAGATGAGAGATTAGAAGAACAAGCGTTGAAGCAAAACAAACCAAATTTACAACTAAGCTAGTCATCCTGCATAAATACTGTCAAAGGACTGGATAAAAGCCTAGGAATCAAGGATTAGGTTATAAAATCTCTAAGAGGCATCCAGATATTATTTTAATTATCTGCAAATCCTTTCTATCTTTATTCTGCAGTGTTGAGTTTCACAGAATTCTCCTACAAAACCAGGTCGTTAATCTCAAATGATCTCAGAGAGGCTGAAAAAAAAAAATCAACCTCCGGATGTCGTTTCCCTAAGAAACCATCTGGAGTGAGTCCATGGTCCATTTGCCTTCACTGGGAGTTTATTTTGCAGAGAAATGCTTTAGGAAGGTCAATTACTACGTCAAATATGACAAAAATCTATTTAATACATTGACTAAATGTTTATTTTCTTAAAACTCAAAATTAAGCCAAATTGATTTTTTCCTTGCCAGGAAGCTTATATTTTCATTTTAGTTTTCCAGTGTCCAGTGAGCATGAGACATTAGCAGTGGATCCAAGGAAGACTTTATGAAATATACAGCTCTATCCATATAAGTGTGTGTGTGTGTGTGTGTGTGTGTGTTTGCTTGAATATCAATCTATTTCTTCAGTGTAAACTGGGAGTGGAAGCAAGTATGTTTTAACCTCACAAAAGCTTTTTTTTTTAAAGAGTGGACTTGCCTTACTCATGCTCTCTTTCCTTGGATTTTTCATACAAAGCATTTTCTGACGAGAGCATCATAGGAATAAAGTCATTGTATCAACAGAAACTTCTTGGGAAGTGAGGCAGGGACAGAAGAAGAACATTGCTTTCTAGAAATGGGATCACTGAGCTGCATTACACAAGAGCAATCTTTAAAGTTATGGAGGTATTTATTCCAGATTTCCATCACAGTCCTGACTTCAAGCCCTGATCTAATTTAGAAATGCCGGTGTTCTTGGTAGCCAAAAGAAAGCTGTTGCTTTCTCATTATAACAAGAACTAACATAACCATTCATCATTCCTTAGGACTTTTTCTTCTTCAGTGGAAGACTAGCATTTAGCCCAAGGCCCTACAATATGGATTTGACCACCCACAATAGGAGTTTCTCTCATGAACTGTTATTTCAAAGAACTCAAACGTCTCAAATTATGTTGGCTTCATCCATGCTATAGTCACATGCCATAGAATTTAATTATTTAATTAATGAACATTTTATTTTCCTGCCTATCGTGTATATGTGCTTGTGTACCCACCTTTGTGTGTGTGTAGATGCATATCTACAGGTGTATGTGTGAACGTGGAGGCCAGAGGTCAACATTAGACATTTCATGCTCTCACTTTATGTATTGAGACAGGGTTGCTCACTGATCTTGGAGCAGCTGATTGGCTGGTTAGTAAGCCCTTAGGGGTCTCCTTTTCTCTCTCTCTCTCTCTCTCTCTCTCTCTCTCTCTCTCTCTCTCTCTCTCGTCTAGAGGCATTTAGGCAAGGATTGCTACACATGGATTTTTTAATGTGAGTTCTGGGGATCTGAACTCCGGTCTTCATGCCTGTATAGTAAACTGTTAACTCACCAAGCCGTCTCTACAGCTGCAAAGACAGCACTTTCGTGACTATTTCTAGAAGAAGACAAATTTTGGCTCAGGGTCATTTGTCCTGAGGAAGACTAACTCCAGGGGCCCAAGAGAGTCAAAATGAAGTCTAACGAAATGATAACAAGGGCTGGAGGGATGGCTCAGTGGTTTAAGAGCATTGCCTGCTCTTCCAAAGGTCCTGAGTTCAATTCCCGGCAACCACATGGTGGCTCACAACCATCTGTAATGAGGTCTGGTGCCCTCTTCTGGCCTGCAGACATAACACACAGACAGAATATTGTATCCATAATGAATAAATAAAAAATGATAACAAAGCTCCAAATGGTTCAAGTTTTGCCTTCATCTGAACTCAAAGGGGACAGGAATAGCAATGATTTCTGCCCATTTTTACCAAAGTCACTCACAAAGCACGTAGGATTATAGGATTCCTGTAAAAGGCACAAGGGGAAGATTTTTTTTTTCTTTTTGAGAAAGCAAATTTTTCCAGTAGTTATCCTCAAATTTCCCTTGTTGCTTTACTGCATATTCTTGTGTCATGGCTGCCATACTCATTCTCTTATTTGCTCCTTATTTCTTGTGTTTGATGGAAGCTGGGCATCCAGAGTCTCTGTTAACTCTGCCTTTTTGGGAATGATTTATTTTGTAACTGGACCATGTGATTGTTCATAATGCAATCTGTGTTTGGTTCATGTTTAATAAGATTGCAGCAAAATTTAAGATACTCTGTAGCATGGAGCCTATAAAAGCTAGCTTTTCATGAATAAACTAAGAATCTTTTTGTAAGATAGTATTAGGCAGGTGGGTTTGGGTAAAAAACCAGACAGGGGTGACATCTGTTTTGCTTTTAGGCTTTGTGTGTGAAATGTACATTCCACATTTGCAGTCTTTTCATAACCTGAAGCTTAACCCTTGACAACTCTTGAGTCTTACCTTGAAAATCTATAATTAACCTAAAATCCTAAAAATGCTGCTTTCTGGAAATGAGAAGTATTTAGAATTATATTTTGGCTCCGAGTTTTCTGTGTTCATGTTGGCTACTTTGTTTCCATTTGCTTTCTCCCTCTCCTCCCCAAAGGCTGGTAATCAACCTCATGTTTACCTTAATCTCTTCAGATTGATGCTGCTAAAGTTGCACGAAGCTATCTCCCTCTAGCAATCATATTTTTGGCTCAAAATTGTACCTTTGCAGAATGAAGCTATCTTGGAAAGAAAGTTAATGCCTGCCAGCTCAGATTAATATACTTGTTCACAAATAACCTTCCTGTGAAAACACTTCTTAAAATGATGTAGTAACTTAATGTCCTATGACGAAGAACATTGTGTTAATGTGACTAACACAAGGACATACGTTTGGCATCTATTAAAATTTTAGATGATGTTGTCTAGGTAATAAGGCTGTGCTTATATGTGCTCAAGGGCTGCTGTTCAGTTTTTAGTAGGGGCATGTGAGGGTAATGAAGATTATGGTAAAGTAGTGTAGATTAATTTAAAAATCTTAATTTAGGGCTGTGGTTATAGCTCAGTAGTACGGTGCTTGCCTGGGATGTTTGAAACCCTGGTTTCAATTGCTGTTATTAAAGAGACAATTCTTAAAGCATCATCAGGCAGTGACTTTGGCTTGTCAGTGTGAGCACCTTAGGAATTGGGAGGGCTGAGCTTCAGGGCTCTCAATACTATACACTGGTATTTCTGTAATTTTGAAACATTAAATTATATCAAGCTGGCTATTGATGTGGGATTCCCCTCTGTATGCTGTAAAAGCCATTGGTTAATAAAGAAACTGTCTTGAACCTGTGATAGGGTAGGGTAGGGTAGAGCTAGGAGGGGGAAACTAAACTGAATACTGGAAGAGGGAGGTGGAGTCAGGGAGAAGCCATGGAGCTGCCTGCATGGCAGTAGGCCACGAGCCTCGTGGTAAAATATACAATAATGGAGATGGATTAATTCCGGATGTAAGAGCTAGATAGCAACACACATAAGTGATTTGCCAAGCAGTGATTCAAATAATACAGTTTCTGTGTGATTATTTTGGGAGTCTGGGCAGCTTGGAAATGAACAAGCGACCTACTAAAACAGGTTATTCTAATTTTTTATTTTAGATACCTTGAAAATAGTGGAACAAAGTATTAATAAACACACACACACACACACACACACACACACACACGGTTTTCTCTTTTAAAATATGGACTGCCCTTTAATTCCATTCTTTTGTGGTTCAATAAAAGGAGGACAAGATGAACTAGATAGACAAGGGCTCAGAGGGACAATGTTTCACCATACTTGCTATGACATGTTTCTAAGCTGGGATCCCCGTAGAAATTTCCAGCTAAAGTTCCTGAGGCGGTTGCTGCATGAAATCTGTTAAAATGCACTCAGTGTCTTGGGTGAAGATCAATATTTTAAAATAACAGCAAGTACTAACTGGATTCCATAAATATGGACTAGACAAAGTTACTATATTTCTTTCTCAAGATAGATAAGAATTGAAGCTTTTTTTTTAGTTTTTTTTTTATCAAATTAGAAATGGAGGTTAGTGCTTCTAATGGTAAATAGGCTTACACTATTCAAAGGAAACATTAAAGAAATAGGTTAAATTTTATTTTTGAAAATTAATGTCGTACTTTCAGTTTTTCCCCATATGACTTTCTTTTTTGTTTATTTTATTCTTTTGTTTTGTTTCACAGATATCACAGAATAGATGGTAGGAGGGTAAAGAAATGTACAAATATATTTGAACTTCCAAAACATACTTATTTTAGAGAATTTGTTCCTAAAACAATTTTTCTGTATTAAAATTTATTTATTTTTGTCAAGACTTCATTGATTTGATAGTCACAATGCCAGTCCCCATCCTGTAAATATTTGGTAAGTTTAGTGGGTTTCCGCCCTTCCCTTTGTATCTCTTTTCCTTTCTGCTCCCATGTTCTTCATGCTAACAACTTCAGCTCTCTTCTCTGCTCTCAGAGGACCCTTTTCTTTTCGATTAAGTTAACTCTATTTAGATTTCTTATCATTCATAAGTACTTATTTGTAACCATAGTGATATATAACATTCAGGGGATATGGTGTTGTAAACCGTACATAACACTGTAACCTTGCTTTGAAGAATTACAAGGACACGTCTACCTAACACATGGTGTGCTCACACTGACGGATTTTTAATGTTAAAACTAAAAACTGCATCACTGGTCTTCATTGCTGGGAGGAAATTCATTGCTTGAACCTTGATGGATTCTGAGTTAACTTTTAGTGCTGGAAGAATGCTCTATGACCTGTAAAGCGCAAAAGTACTCGAGATAGCAATAAGCCAGTTTAGTATAGAAATATGGTTGCCTGTCTCTAAAAATAAGAGAAAAAAACCTTGTCATTTACTATTTTGTTTTATGTAAGACTTTAGAATTTCGTTTGAGCTAAGATAAATTTTAGCTTAATGTATTTGAATATTTCATTCATTTAAAGTCTGCTTCCAAGAAGCTCTTAAGAACCGAGGCGAGTGAATATTTTGCAAGTCATCAACATCTTGAAAATGTAACGTGGTGGAAATAGGCTTTCCAACAGAGTTTTGATTTTCCGACTCTAAAAACTAGTATGATTCGTGAAAAACATGCCCAAATTATTCAATTGTATTGCATGCACTTTCAACCTGAAGAAACCCAGCAATATTTGTCATGGCAGGCACGGCTAACCTTCATTGTACGTTAGTCTGTCACCTTCATTCTCAGGCTACCTAATTCTGATATTGATATTAGTATTTTCCTTCACATTGTTTTAACTGTGACTTCCAACAGCAGCCGTGCTCTTCAGCTGAGTTTAATTGGTGGTGTTTAACTAGTACCCTTTTAACATAGTCATATGAGTGACTGCAGGAAGATCCTCATGCCTGCAAGGAAGGCATTCTCTTACTAGGCTAGATCCCTGTCCCCTCGTAATCGAACCGGTGAGTTAACGGATTCGTAGCCAGATCCATAAATGATTATTAGTGACAATTTATCTCATTGTTAGTATTTTTTCAAATTATTCTTCTGTTGATAGTTTTATATTAGACAATAAATCTTACTCCTTACAAAATGATAGAACAGATCTAAAATTTCCCCACAGTTGAGTTCAGAGTCCCAGAAACTGTATAAAAAGTCAAGCGTAGCTGCACATGCCTATAACTCCAGTGGGCAGAGACAGGAGGAAGCCTGGGAGCTCTCTGTACATCAATCTAGTCAAAATAATGAGCTCCCAGATCAATGAGAGAACCTATTCAAGGAAAAATGGCAAAAAGTGATGGGAAAAGACACCTGATACCTTCCACTGGCCTCCACACAAGAAACCTTTAGAAAATCATCATTAGCATCAGTCTCTAAAACAAGCAAAATTAATGAACTCAGGCCTCCAGGCTTGCACAGCTAGCATTCTTTCTCACTTGCTCATTTCCTAGTCCTTATGTATGGAACACAGACTATATGAGGGGTTTAAATCTTCAAACTTTAGAGATCTATTTTCAAGAATCATTAGTTTCTCTTTTGTTGATGCCAACAAATGATGAAGAACCCTTGAGCTAAAGGATACAGATGAAACTTAAATGTACTTATTGGATCAAAATGTTAGAAATATTGCACATGAATTTTAAATTAATATTGAGAGATTGTATGTAAATATCCAGAGCATGCATATATGCATAAATATATATGCATTTGATGACAGTATCTACAAAGTGTATAATGGAATTGTATTTTATACAATTGCTCAGTATGAATAAATATAGAAGATATATAAATTACAGTGAAAAATTTTAGAACAAGATTAATTATTTTGTAGCTCATAGGACTTTTTTTTTCATGTGTGAGATAAAATTCTTACAGTCAGTTGATACAAAGATGTCAATACAAAGATACTCAATATTTCTATAGACCCAGTCTGGTTTTTGAAAGACCGATGGGGGAAAAACAGTAAATGATAGTTTTTTTGGAGGGGAATTCTTGAGGTTTCTAGAAGAAATTTTGTATTGTTTTTATTCTTTGCATATTTCACACATGTATACAACAAAATACAACCATATCCATTCTCCACTTACTCCTCCAACTCCACGAGGAGTTCTTAACATGCCCCCTTCAACTTCCTCTCTTGCTCTTCTCTCTCTCCTGATAAGCATAATTAATGTTAACCATGTATATGCATGGGTATAGGACCATCCTCTGGAGCGTGGGAAATCTACCAGTGTCTATATCCTCCAAGAAGGAAGCTCTCCCCTTCCCACTAACTATTGTCTGTCAATAGCTTCTTAGCAAGAGGTGAGGCCTGGAGAGTTCCTCCTCCATCGGTGCTAGAATTTTGGCTGGCTTCATCTTGGCAGGTCTAGTGCAGGTAACCACACCTGGTGTGAGTTCACGAATTCAATAGTCACGCCATGTCCAGAAGACAGTGTTTTACAGAACCCCTCCCGTCCTCTTCTGTGCTCTCTCCTTCTGCCTCTCTTCTACTGTGCTATCTGAGCTTTGGTAGGAAGTATGGTTGGTAAAGCTGAAGATGCACTTGGTGACAGGAATAGCCAATTGGAAACACCTGATTTTTTTAAAAAATATATTTTCTTTTTTGAGATTATAACATAATTATGTCACTTATACTTCCACTGCTCTCCAAATCCTCCCATATACATCTTCTTGCTTCTTTTCAAATTCATGGCTTCTTTTTCCTATATCTATCTATCTATCTATCTATCTATCTATCTATCTATCTATCTATCTATCATCTATCTATCCTCTATAAATTGTTTATAAATACATACATACAGATACACATACATCATACATACATACATGCATATTCATAAATACATAAGTACAACCTGCTCTGTCTGTGTAATGTTATTTGTATGTGTGTTTTCAGGGTTAATCATTTTGGTAGCAGATAACCAGTTGGCATGCTCTTCCCTGGGGAAGACTGTCTCCCACTCTCAGCGTTCCTTACCCACCTGCAGTTTTTGGAGTAGCGTTGAGGCCTTCTGTCCCTCCATGTCAGCACAACCAATATTGTTGTTCTTGTTCAGCTTGCGTTTAGGCAGTCATTTTGGTGAGACCTATTTTTAAATCCTACTTTCCCTTTATTGGTCCGAAGCCAATCCAATTATCTTGACCAGAGATAATGGAATAAAATACTTAGGAGAAACAGAGCCTAAAAAATTGGCTTAGAGAAATTCTTGAGAAGTGGCTATTTTTCCCTCATTACTTTTCTTTTGAGCTTTGAAATTCTTAGCATTTGTTTTATGTGCTGTTTATGGTTTCTAAGAGACAAGGAACCTTCACCCGACACTTGGAAGGCTGACAAAATAGGCATACAGCGTCGGTCTCCAAGTGGCCTCTGTCTTGCTGTGGGAAGTCTTGAGTCATTTAATTCACTTTCCCCTCTGTTGATAAAGAAAGGGCTCTGGGGAAATCAAACTACCCCTCAAAGCCATCGAAAGGAATAATCAATATAAACAGTCTCCAAACAGTATTTTTGGACTTGATGGTCCTCTGTGGGCCTCCATTATCTGGTTTTTAGTCTCTCAAGGTCCTAACTTACTTTTTCTTATGATGCATGAATTCTAAAGTATTTCTCACTGAAATAACACCCCACGTGTTGAGTTATATTGTGGCCTCTTAATGTACAGACAACATCAATCCTCTCCCTTCAACTCTTCATTAAAACTCATCAAGCAAGTATTTTTCCCAAGCTCCACTCAGAAAGCATTTAAGCAAAAATACACAGATCTGTGAAGCTTCAGATCACAGGGTGGTGAGCTCAGAGAGATCAAATGATGCGTTTCAGTTTGTCCAAGCATGCTACATTTAAGACCTTTGTAGAGAGATTTGGGCTTTTTATTATTTTCAGTTGTAAAAAAATAACCAGCTGAAACAGATGAGTACCTACAGTGTTATTCCTGGCCCTTAGACTCTTTGCCAAAAGTTAATGAAATTCACATAAAGTCTGCATAGCTTGTTGGAATCTTCGGGGGCTCCGTATTCTTTCATTTTATGGCAGTCAATGGGTTTTTGTTATGTGAAGGCCACTCCTCAGAGAGATGCTACCTTTGTATTGAAGAGAGGTGCCATGGTCCTGATGCTGCAAGCTCCCAGACACTGCATGAGTTCAAATGAGGATAACTTAGACCTCCCTCACAGGGACGTTGTGAGGATTCAGTAAGATAGCCCATGAAAATGGCTTACAGTTATGACTTAATAAAGATTTAATATAATTTATTGAGTACTTGACACAATTTAGAACCTAAGATAGTAAAGATAAAGCTGTAAAGAAACTAATAATCTATTATGTATAGTTGAGGGAAAGAGACAAAATATTTTTGCAAAAATTATTTGCAAAGAGTAAAACACATACTATCCCAAAAATGTTGAAGAGACAATGTTAGACATTCTTTTAAGTCTATGAGAATCAAATTCTGAGTTCATAGATTAATATTTACAAATGGACATTTTTGCATATGTTTAACTTGTGGTTAAGGCTAAGGCATATTTAATCATTTAAATGAGAATTTAATGTTTGTTTTTGTAGAGTTTCACATTTTCCTATACTCTGACTTTGGAAATCATAAATAAAAGCTTCAAAATATAGAAGGAGTTCTGTTGTAATGATTTGACTGTAGGCTAGTTCTGTGGTTAATGTGACTGTAGGCTAGTTCTGTTGTAGTGGTGTGATTATAGGCTAGTTCTGTTGTGTGATCTGACTGTAGGTTAGTTCTGTTGTAGTGATCTGACTGTAGGCTAGTTCTGTTGTAGTGGTGTGATTGTAGGCTAGTTCTGTTGTAGTGGTGTGACTATAGGGTAGTTCTGTTGTAGTGGTGTGATTATAGGCTAGTTCTGTTGTAGTGGTGTGATTATAGGCTAGTTCTGTTGTTGTGGTGTGATTATAGGCTAGTTCTGTTGTAGTGGTGTGATTATAGGCTAGTTCTGTTGTAGTGGTGTGATTATAGGCTAGTTCTGTTGTTGTGGTGTGATTATAGGCTAGTTCTGTTGTAGTGGTGTGACTGTAGGCTAGTTCTGTTGTAGTGGTGTGATTATAGGCTAGTTCTGTTGTGTGATCTGATTGTAGGTTAGATCTGACTGTAGTCTAGGTCTGTTGTTGTGGTGCGATTGTAGGCTAGTTCTGTTGTAGTGGTGTGACTGTAGGCTAGTTCTGTTGTAGTGGTGTGACTGTAGTCCAGGTCTGTTGTTGTGGTGTGACTGTAGGCTAGTTCTGTTGTAGTGGTGTGTCTGTAGGCTAGTTCTGTTGTAGTGTGACTGTAGGCTAAGTGAAGACATGAGGGAATTATGCAGACACTTAAGGCCTGAAAATGTTTTGCAGTTTCTTTTTTATGGTCACTTTAGACATTTCACTAAGGTAAATTCTTGAGGTTGCTGACTTGAGTTTATCTAAATTATTTTTTTCTTGTGTTTCTGATGTGTTGGTTTTTCTGTACTGGTGTCTGAGTTCTGATAGAGATACAAATGATGCTAGCTTTACCTCAAGTTGGTTCTTGTCAAGTGTATTTTTTATTTGGATAAATGCAAATAATAATGATGACCATGACCGCATTAAGCCTTCTTATGAAGTTTCTTTAATGGGACCATTATCATTTTTGACATTTGGTGATGATGCAATCAAGTCTGTATTTAAATCTCTTACTGATGAACATAAACAAATTATTTCATTGCCACAAGCATCATGAAGGACTTTCCTTGCAAAATTAATATGAAGTAAAAGCAGCAAGTAATTAAGTTCAGTCTTAGCTTCAAAAATAATGCCAATAAGGTCACCTTTTAAAATCTCATTTCAATTTTTTAAATTAATTTTACATACCAAACATTTCCCTCTCCCTCTCTTCCTTCTGTCCTCCCCACCCTCCATCCCCTATCCACTCCTCAGAGAACGTAAGGCCTCTCGTGGTGGGTCAACAAAGCCTGGCATATCAGGTTGAGGAAGGACTAAGTCCCCCCCCCCCCCCCCCGGCATCAATGCTGAATGAAGTATCCCACCATAGAGAAGGGGCTCCAAAAATCCAGTTTATGCATCGGGAATAAATCCTGGTCTCACTGCCAGGAGCCCCTCAAACATACCAAATCACACAACTGTCACCAGCATTCAGGGGGCCTAGCTCAGTCCCATGATGGCTCCCCAGCTGTCAGTCCAGAGTCCAAGAGCTCCCACAAGCTCAGGTTAGCTGCCTCTGTGTGTTTCCCATCATGATCTTGACCCCCCCCCCTTGCTCATATAATCCCTCTTCTCTCTCTTTGCCATCAGAGAGCTTTCATCCAGTACCTGATGGAAGCTGATGCCATCAGAAGTATCAGATATCTACATTATGATTCATAACAGTAGCAACACTACAGTTATGAAGTAAGGATGAAAATAATTTTATAGTTGGGAGGTCATCACAACATGAAGAAGTATATCAAGGGGTTGCAGCATTGGGAAAGTTGAGAACCACTGTAATGAATGACTGTCCTGGTGGAGGGAATTCATTGTTTTGTCCCGTCAAACCTCAAGATAATTCGTCTGCTGCCTAATGATGACTATCTTTAGTTCGCTTCTCCGTTAACTTTAGAGGTGGTCAGCAGCATGGGAACTTGTGGGCGCCCTGACTTTTTATACACTGTGCTCTGGGACTGGAGTTTTCTTTTCTCAGGGCATTTCTGCTCACCCTGTACGATTCAGCTCAGGCGTCTTCTCTTACGAGAAAATGAGCCCTTCAGGTTCTTCCTGTTGCTTCTTCCAGGGAAACAGACATTTTCCCAGGTCTGCTCCCATGACACCTTAGCCGTGATTCTTAATCACTTACTAGATCATACTGAAGTCAGTTGTTGACCATTGTAACTGCTATAACTTGCGTTTTGATGATTCAGCAAGATAGATGCAACAGAGTCTATTGTCTTAATCATCAGTGTCTTTGTCATGGATAGCAACTGTTGTCAGAGGAACAATAAAAAGTTAATAAAAGAAAATGGTAGCATGGAGACCCTTGTTCTTATTACATATCTGTCAAATGTTCTGAGTAATCCTCTTTCCATATTGGAAGAAGTGATAGCTGATATTCTGCTATCTTCTCCTGTGAATGTTGTATTATTATTTAAATGTCTCAATTTAGAATTATCCTGGGATACTCCAAGGCTGAGAAAACATCTAGTGCTGGAGCTAATTTAAAGTATCTAGACCCCAACTAATCAGAAACTCTCTACAAATGCTACACACTGGTGGATGCGTGGAGTTAGTAATTCATATCCTTAAAACTTCTGCATGAGATACAAAACACCTGCACTTTCAAGACGAGCCTGGCTGGATCGTGTTTCCTTGGATTATCGCTAGACTCAGAGACAGACAAACATAGCATTTACTTCACACAAATTGAATTGCACACAGTTGTCAAAGCTGTAACTAGGTTGTGGAGTCAAACTCTGGACTCAGCTCTCATCAGTAACAAATTGTAATTTGGGCAAGATGTTTAAAGTCCTTTATGAGATGTTAAAAACATGGTTAAAATTTATAAACAATGTATACTATTCAAAATATCAGTGCTTGTTTTAGCAGAAAAGTAAACAAAGATGATAATGTATTATTCTTGATGAAATAAATATGTTAGTTTAAAAATTCTTACTAAATTGGACCTGATTTTTAAATCTTTTCTTATGCATATTTTCTGTTGGCAATATAAATTGAGTAATCGCTAGGACTATGTCGCAAAGTCATTGACGCTCTAGTAATACCCATCCTGGATGTTTATGTCCTTTATGCGTATTTGTTTCTTGTAGAATGTCAAACTGAAATATTACAGTGGTCTCAAGCCCATTCTTAGCAGTAACATTTCACGTGACAACTGTGGAGTATAGCAGTACCACTGTATTGTGTTTAACAATTCTCAGTGTTTATCACCTGCATCCATCCGTTCAGGGTCATCCTTAGTAGGTCCAGTCAGTCACTATGAAGTAGGTGGACTGCATTCTATACAGCAGAATTCCCATGGACTCCAACAGGCAGAAAAGAGAAATGACTGTCTTATTGATGCAGCGTTTTCCTCAGTTCCAAGAGGCAGAATCTATGCAAGGCTAATACACAGAAAGAAGTGTCTGTCTCTTTGACCTTAGGGCAGGATGGTGGGTTTTCAGTTCCAGAACATGTGTACGTCAGTCAACATAACCAGAGTCAAAAGGGCTTTCAAAGCAGTCACTTGATTTTTTGTTTTACGTGAGTTTTGGGCTGTAAGC